GCCGGCCGGCACCGGGCAGACAGCCGCCCCCCCGCCCCGTCTCTGGGCTCATTCCTGCCCTCTGTTCTCGGGCCAACGTGGAAACGTGCGGTTCCACAGGCACACACCGTGGCACGTGCGGCTGGCAGGCCTACAATAAACCTGCGCCCATAAGCATCCTTTAAGCATTTTTATGCCTCCGAGGTATTTCATTTTTTTAAAGTTATGAATAATTTTATTCTAGAGCGTTTGACAGAGATGAATTTAAATATACAACTTCAATACGAAGTCCCTAACAAGAAAATAATGACGTATTACAATTTCACATGGGGGGAGGTCGTTTAAAGGACCCGTGAGCGGACTTGTGAAAGGAAAGATCAGGTCCGCCGCCCCCGCTTCTGCGGGCTGATTCTGATCAGCATCTCTCGTCGCCCAGCCCGGGGGAGGGAAGCAGGGCTCCGTCACTGCACCGTGCGCTGCTCCAGCCCACCCTGCCCGCCTACTGGCCGTGCATGCCGTGATGGCGCGGGGACTGATCCAGAGGGAGTGCGACTCTCTCCCATGACGGAGGCAGTAAGCACACCTGATCACGCAGGGAAGATCAAACCACACGCAGGTTGGAGAGCACCTGCTCGTGTTTCCCCTGGCTTTCCACAGTAAAAGTGTCCTCAGTGCACACCTTCAAGAAGAGGACTTGAGGATGCAAGGAATTTGATTTACGCGGTGACTGACAAGACTGGCGCTAGAAAGGGCGGGAAAAACGGGTTGTTCAAGGCCCCTAGTCTTTCCAGCTTCTGCCACAAAGCCCAGGGGACAGGGGCTCAGGGTAACCACGCTGACGGCCGTGACTCAGGGCAATTCTGGCACCGTCTGACCCTCCACCTGCGCTGGCCCTGTACTGCCTCTAAACCCCAAGAGTTTTCTGTACCTACCAAGGCGGCACCCCCATTATAACACAGAACTAGCAGTAAGTGTAGGGCTGAGAAATCACTGAAAGACAAAAGCAAAGATCCAGCCACAAAGGCCACTGGACAAAAAGAGTGACAGGCCATGTGCCTCAACCTTCCCCCAGTCCCGCGCCCCTGAAAATAACAAGAAAAGTTATTTTAAAAATACTGTGGGGGAGATATGGGGACAAAAGGGTAAGACGACTTTACCCTGTGAAGGGAACATCAACGTCTTCTGCCACTAGGTTAAACCTCCCTACCTTGGGCCACTCCAGGTCCCTGCCCACTGCTGGCCAGTCCTCCATCCAAGCACCATGAGCAGAAGCCAGAAACGGACGCTCCCTCCCCATCAGACAGAGGGGAGGGGCAGACCCACACACGTCAAGGCCCCAGCCAGCCAGCCAGCCACGCCAATAACTTAGTCCCTCATTCTTGACACTGACAGGCTTTTGAGGAAAACTGGCAAATGCAAAAGGCCAGAATAGAGAGACATACGACTTACTCCAGAGGAAGCAGAGGTCATCCAGCAAACAGAGGAGAATTTTTTAAAACCTCTACTCAGTGTCCTCAGAGATACCAAAAAGGATCCTGCATGAAACATAAGGAGCAAGCTGCTACACGAAAGAAACAATAAGAAAGCAAGGAGGGGACCTGGAATTAAATACACGGACCCTGACATCAAAATTCCAACGGGAGGCCTGGGTCACAGAGCGGATGTGGCCGAACGCTGCACTAGGGATCTGGAGGGCAAAGTCAAGGAAATCTGCTGGAATGAAGAGTAAGCAGGACAAGAGATTAAAAAGTAGGAGATGAAAGATAAGAGACAGTGAAGGATCAGTTCCATCTGAAAGGCACTTAAGAAGAGAACAGAGAAAATGAAATCACGGAAGAAAGATGTTCTCAAGCTCAGCAGAGGCATAAGGTCCTTCATAAGAATTTTGGAAATAAAAAGAAAAAAATTAATTCTCAAGAGAGGAACCAAACAAACATACATTTACTTACATTCATCTGTGACATTGGATACTAGGAGGCAATGAGATAAAAACATCAACATTCTGATGACAAATGATTTGCTGAGGAGTTCCAGTCACAGCTGAATGAGTATCCAGGAGTGAGGACAAATGAAATCTTATATGTGTGTGGACCCAGAGGCCCCACCCACCTCTGCCCTCTAAGAATTCCTTAGATACATTGAGTCAAAAGAGAAATCAATCGAAGAGCGAGGCTAGTTTGACTACATTAAAGAAATAAAGCCATGTGAACATCTCATAAGCCTGAAGCACATTTACTAAAATTCAACACTCACTCATAATAAAGCCTTTTGGTAAACCAGAAATGGGAGAGAACCTCCTTAACCTGATAAAGGATATCTTCCACAAGCCACGTTCCTAGAAGGGAAGTTTCAATATTATAATCTTCAGTTCTGCCTGAACTGTGCTACCAAATCTACGCAGGCTCGAAGTTTGTAGTAAGTATGACAAGGTTTATCTGGAAAAGAAAATGCCCAAGTGAAACCAAAAAAATTCAGGGGAAAAACAACACAAGTAAAAGAAGGCTCCCTTACCAGACGTCACAGCACATGATGACGTCATAGGTATCAACAAGCAAGTCCACGGAGCAGAATCGTGGGAAAACAGACACGGACACAAGGAAGCTTCATCATGTAAAGGCAGCATTTTAAATCAGCAGGGAAAGAAGGGATGACTCAGCGGTAAATACTTTGGAATAATTGGCTGTGCACTGGGAAAAACTAAAATTGGATGTCCTCTTGGGAACACACACATGCACGCACATGCACACATAGACGATGCATGTAATTAAGTGCAAGGAGGAATATTGGAAGGAATAAATACCTAACTATCAGTAGGAGTAATTCTTTGGGGAGAGAGGTGGGACTTTTCCGGTGGTGGAAGGTTATTTGAATTTTTAGAATGTGAATGTTTTCATGTACTCTTTGTAGTATTTTAAACATTTTGAACTGAAAAAAAAATCCCTACACTTGACAGGCTGCCAAGCGGGAGGCAAACAGACCTGTATCCTTCAGAAAAGGGAGACGTTCATATTAAATAAGTAAAAACAAAACCTCAAAAGAGGCATCGTGTGGTAACTCACGATGCTGAAAGGCACACTCAAGAAAAGAAGTTACCATCTCATCTCTGATCACCGCGACGCCCGCCACTTGCTCTGCAACTTCGGCCACAAACACCTGCAGGGGCGTCCCGTCCTGAGAAGAGAAGCGGAGATCGCAAAGCCCTTAAAACTATCGCTGTTGCTGCTTCTGGAAGCGTCAGTAAAGGGTGTCCGCCAGGATCACTTAAGGACAACGGGAAAGCCAACATCCATCGCCACTTACCTTTGGGCCAGGTCACAGGCTGAACACCCTCCCTGCACTCATCTGACCCTCACTGCTACCCTGTGAGATAAGTATTGTCACTCTCTCTACTTCATTTACCAGAAAATGAGGCTTGGCAGGCTCACCTGCCAGGATCCCCAGCCAGTAAGGGATGGATCTGTTGATTCAAACCACAGCCCTCTGCCTGGGAATCTGTCTGCTTCAGCACCACATGCTGTGACTTCAGGACCCCTGCGCCCCGGGGACTGCAAAGAGCTTTGTCCTGTGTGTAACGTCCATCATTATTTTCCGTATTAGGAATTGCAACTGAGAAATTTTTTAATTATTTTCTTAATTTTTGACTATCAATTAAAACAAAATTTTTAATTTGACAAAAATATTTAGAAAGAAAAGTCAGGGTTTTTTTAGCATTGCTTTATATTTCTGAAAATCTCTTTAATGTCTGGCTTAATGGAAGACAGAGTGGATTCTCATACCTGCTTCTGTGTTCAGTCTGCTGTAATATGTTGTTTTGGTTGAAATATATGCAAAAAAAATCTGTCTTCACAAAGATATGTAGTTGGAAAAGGGAGAAGTGTTTAAACAATCTTTTCAGATAATTTCGGACGTTCTGCTTTGATGCAACACTGGATCTCAACAAGTGGCAGTGTTTCACAGATTAGTTTCAGCATGGAATCTGGAACCATGTTGGTGAACTTTGTACATATTACCATATCAAAATGCATTGATTTCTTAATAAAAATAAAAAATAAAAACATAAAATTCACTGGTGTCTTGTGCACTTGGAAGCTTTTACCTAGGCATGGTCGTGTAACGTCATGCACTGTTTATCTGGGAAATACAGGTTCACTGAGCTTATGCAGGTTTTCCGAATGTTGGTCTATTTCATCACGAAATATCAAAACATCACATCAGGTAATATCACCATTAGTCTCATCAGAAAAATTCGTTTAAGTATTGGGAAGCTGACAAGCTGACAGTGGCAGGTACTGGCCTTCCAAAATTCTACTTTTATTCTTGCACGTTTAGATTTTATCATAGGGGACCAATGCTGTCAGGTGGTTTCTTAGAGAGACACCCTCACCTCCTTCATTTTAAAGAAAATGTCTGCCAACTCCTAAAGATGGAATAACCGTATTTTGTCTGCCAGCTGTTCTTTCAAGTAAAAACGCTATTCTGTGACAAGCCTGCTGGTTCAGCGTGCAATTCAAACAACTCCGCGGTGCCACTGCCTCGATCCCCTCCAGGGCCCCTGGGGCTTTGTCCACCATGACTTTCCCACCATCCGTGGGAATATCAATTCAGCAGGAAGGGAAAATAATTTCCGACTTCTATCATGAGGATCATTTTGATCTCACAGACCCCTGAATATGTCTCGGAGACTCCCTAGGCTTCCTCAGACCACACTTGGAGAACCAGGGCCCCTGCATCATACTGTGTCGGCAAGTCAAGAGGGAAGGAACAAAAAAATGAAGAAACAAAGAGACTAAGAGAAACCCAAGCAAACAAATGAACAAACGAACAAAAACACGTGCTGGAGGGAAGTTCTACTGTAATCCAACACCTTTATAAACATTAAACATTTTACCACGTTTAGGTGTTCGGTGTCTCCCTCTAATTTGAGTTACAAATTAACTAAAAGGTTTATTCAAAAGAGCCCGTAGCTGGGAACTCCCCCAAACGACCTCAGCATTGGAAGAAATAAGTTGCGGTGCTTTCATGTAACGAAGTACTTTACGCCACAACATGGACGAATCTCACAAGCACTGCTGAGCAGAAGCAGCCTGGTGTCAGAAATGAGGCTCAAAAACAGGCATCTATGACCTTAGAGGTCAAGGTGGAACTGACTACCTGGAGGGGAAGGTGGCTGGGGTTAGTCGTTTCTCAAAACAGGCGCTCGTTACATGGTGTATGCGAATTGTGAAATCCATCGAACTTTCTATTGGTTACACTTCAATTAGAAACATTTTAAACAAAATGTATCAAAAAGCAACTATGTCCATAACTACATGCATTGTTCCATGGCTGGGGACGTCCACTGGCATGGTCCTCAAGAAGGCGGTGATGATGTAAGGACCACAACTAGCTTGCCCTCTGCTATGGGGGAAGCCCAGCATAGTCACTGCACCAGAGAGAACCCAGCATTTGTCATGCGGGATCTTCCCCAGACAACGCAGTCCTTGACTGAGCTCAACAAAAGCACGTCGGCCGACTCACCACCCAGAGGGGCTGAAGTGGGGTTCTGCTGGGGTGGTCTGGGCACAGGCACCCACAGATTCACTAACTTGGCTCAAGCTCAGATTTGCCTGTTCCAACCACTGGGATCTACCTTATTTTGTGACACTTGCCTGGATCAAGTCCAAATTTTCCATCCCCATGGTGAGGACCTGGGGTATGTGACCAGCCCCTGTGTGAGCAGCACAGCCCTACGTCCTTAAACCTCACTTTCCTTGTTCTTTTCTTCTTGCTTCCATCACCTCTGCTGCTCCCCACCCTGCAATTCTCCCACTGGGTCCGAGGAAACTTTGGGGTTGAACCTACGTGGTCATACTGGTCCCACAGCAAAAGGAAAAGGAGCTGGTCTGGTCACAGAAGGTACTTACAGGGTCCCTGCGAGCCTCGTTGTATTGCTTCAAATCCTCCAATATGCTTTCGTTCAGCATGAGGGTGCTGACAAGCTTTTCAACCCCGGGAGTATCCGAGACAGTGGCTAATCTTATAGTGATGGACCTGGATAATGAGAGACACGTGTTCTTTTTCAGATTAAAGTACTTAAATATGTGCTCTCCCGCTGCCCAGAATGCAGACAGAACTGTAACACATCACACTTACATAAAATAATATCCAATAAGATATTTTATATAACACTGGGGTTTGATTAATTACAACAGTAACTCTTCATTCTAGAAAATCTGGAAAACACATGTTTAAAAGAGGACAAAGAATAAGGTAAAAAGAATAGTCACTGATGCTACCATTAACCAGACAACATGAAGTGACACTTCAAATTCATTTAGTTTGGGGGGAGGGTAGAGCTCAAGCGGTGGAGCACAAGCTTAGCACACACAAGGCCCTGGGTTCCATCCCCAGTACCGCCTCTAAAAATAAGTAAATAAACCGGACTACCTCCCCAACCTAAATAAATAAATAAATAAATAAACTTTTAAAATTCATTTAATTTAAAATGGCACCGTGCTTTATGTCATATTTACTTTGTACAAAAAGCTAAATTCTTCCCCAAATTTTTAAGTATGTTAAGAAATTAATAAATTACACTGAGGCCAGGCTGGCTTCATGAGTCTTAAAATTCTTGATAATATTATCTTTGATTTCGTGTTCTTGCAGGAAGTCGAGTAGGACAACAAAGCGTGTCCGAGGCTTGGAGCCTCGGCTCACACGTGGTACCCGCCTCCCACCATCACCTCATGACGGGTCTTCCCAGATCTGTTCCCCATCCCGGCACCTCCCCATCTCCCCGTGGCTGCTGCCAGGGGTGACAACTGGGGTGGATCAGTGTGGGGAGGCCCACGCTCAGCCACCATGCTCTACCCACACTGGGGTCCTGGACACTGGAGCCCTGGTCCTCCAAGGGGAGGTCAGTCTCTAATCAGAGTGAGGTGGTGGCCCTCCGCACCTGGGGCAGGCAGAGCCACAGTGTGTTCGGCTGGCAGCTCAGCGTGGAGCTCTTGCCCACCCGGCACCCAGGTGTTCAGTATGTGCTGGTGCCTGTCTGCCATGGGTTGGAGTGAAGGGGAGACGACTTCTCCATCACGGCTGGAGTTCCACATCTGCACTTTGTAATGGGCCCTGCGTGCTATGCAGCATTCATATAACGACTGCTCTCTAGCCATTAGGGTGCTATTACTAACTAGGACGGTGTCGCTCTGCCTGCTATTAGTAAAGTGAAATGCTCTAACCTACTTTGCCTTCAATTGTAGTGAATATCCATACCTAAGTTTTTTTTTCATTTTTTCACTGAGTTATAGTCATTTTACAATTTTGTGTCAGATTCCAGTGTCGAGCACAATTTCTCAGTTATACATGAACATATATATAGTCACTTTTTTTTGCTGTGAGCTACCATAAGATCCTGTATATATTTCCCTGTGCTATACAGTATAATCCTGTTTATCTAGTCTACATTTTGAAATCCCAGTCTGTCCCTTCCCACCCCCCACCTCTGCAACTACAAGTTTGTATTCTATGTCTATGAGTCTGTTTCTGTTTTGTATTTGTGTTTTGTTTTTTTTTTAGATTCCACATATGAGCGATCTCATACAGTATTTCTCTTTCTCTTTCTGGCTTACTTCACTCAGAATGACATTCTCCAGGAACATCCATGCTGCTGCAAATGGCATTATGTTGTCGGTTTTTATGGCTGAGTAGTATTCCATTGTATAAATATACCACCTCTTCTTTATCCAGTCACCTGTTGATGGACATTTAGGCTGTTTCCATGTCTTGGCTATTGTAACTAGTGCTGCTATGAACATTGGGGTGCAGGTGTCATCCTGAAGTAGGGTTCCTTCTCGATATATGCCCAGGAGCGGGATTCCTGGGTCATATGGTAAGTCTATTCCTAGTCTTTTGAGGAATCTCCATACTGTTTTCCACAGTGGCTGCACCCAACTGCATTCCCACCAGCAGTGAAGGAGGGTTCCCTTTTCTCCACAGCCTCTCCAGCATCTGTCATTTGTGGACTTTTGAATGATGGCCATTCTGACTGGTGTGAGGTGATACCTCGTTGTAGTTTTGATTTGCATTTCTCTGATAATTAGTGATATTGAGCATTTTTTCATGGGCCTATTGATC